AGCGAAAGCCGCGCCTTTGTCTTCACTCCCGAGCCTCGTGTGGCGCCAGCCCGGCCCGGTGAGTGCAGCGCCAAGCACCGCGGCCCGGGGGCTGGGGCAGCGGGGGGCATGGGGCATGGGTGGGGCACTGGGGTCTAGGGGCAGCCAGGGGCGCAGGGGTCCCCAGAGCCCCCTGTGACCCCGGCCGTGCCCGGTGCCCAGGAGACATCGCTGCTGCAGAACGGGGGGCAGGGGGATACCGCCAGGAAGAGCCGTCTGCCCTGCCTGCCCCCACGCACCTCAGCTTCCCTGCGTGGGAAGCCAGTGCCCCTCGCCCGGGGATGGGCATCCGGCCAGCAGCAAATGCAGTGCCAGGGGTGCGGGTTATCTCCACAGGTGCCCTATAGCAGCAAAGTGCCCCCTCCAGGGGGAACCCCCAGTCTCTGGGAGATAATACCCTCTCCAGAGGTGACCCCCGCTCCTGGGGTAACCCCCCACCCAAGGGTGCTGTCCCTACTCCACTTCCCCAGTCCGTGGGTGACTCCTCCACTCTGCTAGCCCCACTGCAGGGACGAGGATGCCCCCCCACTCCAGGGGTGCTCCCCAACTTCCGCCCCCCCACCCACGGGTGCCCCCCATGCTCAGTGTGCCCCAGTCCCCACCGGGCCCCATGCAGCAGAGGAAGGAAGAGCCAGAGCGAAAGCGAAAGCGCTGCGTTTTTCCAGTTTCCCGGAACGAGTGCCACGCACTCCTGCCCCACTGCCCCCGGCCTGGCCTGGGCACGGTGAGTCCGTGCAGGGTCAAGCACTGGGCGGGCGCTGGAGCAACGGCAGGGGCGGGGGGCATGGGGTCAAGCTGGGCAGATGGGGGGGGGCATGTGAGGGGCACTGGGGTCAGGGGGGCACAGGGGAGAGGGCAGGGGGCTGAGCCGGGCTGGCTGGGGAGCAGGGCACTGGGGCCTGGGGGCAGCAGGAAGCGCAGGGGTCCCCAGAGCCCCACATGACCCTGGCCATGCCCCGTGCCCAGGGGCCGCCATGGCCGAGCAGCTGCTGCGGCTCCTGCAGGAGCTGGACGAGGAGCAGTTCAAGCGCTTCAAGTTCTTCCTGCGGCACTCGGCCCAAGAGCCCCGGATCGCTTGGGGGCCCCTGGCCAATGCCTCGCGCCACCAGACTGCTGACCTGCTGCTCGAGCACTACCCGCACGACACCCTGGGCCTGGCCCTGCAGATGGTGAGGTTGATCCCCCGACTCGACCTGGTCCACAGCTTTCAGCCCCTGCAGGATGGAGCTGCGCCCAGCCAGGGCAACAGGGGTGCTGCCAACGGCCCTGAGCAAGCCCCGGGCCCAGGTGGGTAACGGGGCCGGGAAGAGCCGGCCTGGCCCAGCACAGGGCGCTGGGGGAGCTCCCAGGGACACCAGTCCTGGAAGAGGATGACACAAGGGCAGGGGACGTGGGGGAGCTCTGACCCCACTCTGCCCCAGGCAGTGGGGAAGGAGCCCCAGGCAGCCGCCTCCAGCCCCCACCGGACTGACTCAAGTCCCCTCCACAGCAGGGCGGCCAAGCCTGGTTTCGCAGTCGCAGCTGATGAACCTGGCCAGATGCATGGGCCGGGAGTGGCGCCAGATCGGGATCCAGTTCCTGGGGCTGCAGAGTCACCAGCTGGACCAGCTGCAAGAGGACCACCATGGCAACCTGGTCATGCAGGCCTTTGGCATGCTGCTCGAGTGGAGGCAAAAAAAGGGGCGGGCAGCCACGGCCGCCCACCTGCACAGCATCCTCTCTGCCCCGGACGTGGCCCTGCAGCCCGAGGCCCTGGACTGCCTCCTGCAGAGCTGAGCGGGACAGGAGCTGGCACGTGGGCTGGGGCTGGCCCCAGCTGGAGAGGCAGTGACAAGGGGCTGGGGCGAAGAGGAAGTCTCAGGAGCTGGGATCCAGTGCCAGCGAAGCCCAGTGTGATGGAGGTGGGGACCCTGAACCCCGCTTGGCCCCACTTACAAAGGATTTTTACTCTCAATAAACACCAGGCTTCGTATCTGCAAAGGCCCGAGGTGTCTCCCTGCAGCTCCAGCACCCCTGCCCCGCTGGCGTTGGAGCCGGGCCCTTGTGGGTGTAGTAGAAAGTATCATGGGCATTAGTGTCCTGGGGGCATCCCATGGAGGAGGAGTGATGGGGACACAGCAGGGAGCTTGGTTCCCTACAGGTCCCTGCCCAGCCTCTCGATCTCATCCAGGTCCTGCCTGGTGACCAGGGAGCTGGTGACGATCTGGTGGAAGAAGCTGGCCTTGCTGCCATGCGGCGGGTAACCCACCAGCATGGAGCCCGCCTTCGTCATCCGCTCCTTGATGACTGGGTCCACCTGGGCACAGAGGGCAGGAGGATCAGCCTGGCACTGGGCATGGAGCAGACCCACAGCCAGCACCTCCAAAGAGTTTCGAAGGGAATGGAGGAAACCAGGCACCCAAGTCCCGTTGGGGTTCATCAGGAGTTGGTGCCTAATTCCCTTAGATGCCTGTAGAAGTCCCTTTGTTGACACCTGTAGATGTCCCGTGAATGATGTTCAGAAGCACGGGGTCCAGCAGGGTCCCCTGCACTCACCTTCCCCAGCCGCTCCCAGTAGCCGGCTCGGGCCTGCTTCCCCACAAGCTGGGCGGCACAAATGATCGCCATCTCCCTGTGTGTGTAAGAGCCGTGTCCCGCAGAGCGTCCCGGGGGTGGAGCCACTGCCCACATCACCTCCATGTCTTCACACTGTAGCGGATGACATCGTGGCAGCGCCGCAGCACTCGCAGCCGGGGCTTCCCGTGGCCCCGCAGCTCCAGGTCCAGCAGGTGCCGCAGGCCCTCAGGGGCTGCCAATGCCCTTGTTCCAGGTCCTGCCCTGCTTGTAGGAGGCAGCTGGGGCCCATTTGACCTGGCACCTCCAGGCACCTGATCCTGCATGCAGCACCATGCACTGCTCCGCCAGTCTGGATCCACTGCCGTTGCTCCCAGCCCCTTAGGCTCATTCCTGCATCCTGAACCCGGCTCCGAGGACTGCAGCTCCTCTTGCACTGGGCACCATGGGCCCCCAACCCCTGCCAGCATCTGCTGTGGGGGCTCCCAGGGTTCCTGCAGACCCCTCTGCTCAGGCAGCTGCCAGTCCCCACTAGACAGGCACAGCAATTGGGGCTCCCCTGGCATCTCCCTGCCCGCCCAGCCAGGCTCTCCCAGCTCCCAGCCTGGTGGCACAGCACTGAGGTCTGGTTCCTACCCCCACGCTGGTTCTGGCTCCTGCTGTGGGCACGGCCTCCTTGGCATGATGCCGTCTCATTGCTCTGTACAGGAGGCCTGTGCCCCGCAGCACCCACTACCGGTAAAGCATCATTTGCACGAGGAAGTCCATGCACTGTTGTTCCGGCTGGTGCATCCAGGACACATCACCGCTGCAGCTAAAGGAGGGGCAGGGGGATAACGCCAGGAAGAGCCGCCTGCCCCCACGCGCCTCAGTTTCCCGGTGTGCGAAGCCAGCGCCCCTTGCCCGGGGATGGGCATCCGGCCGGCAGCAAACACGGTGCCCAGCGTTGGGGGTTATCCCCAAAAGCCCGGTGCTAGCCAGTTCCCAGCAAACTCCCTCAGGGATTGCCCTCCTCCAGGGGGAACTCCCACTCTCTGGGAGATAATACCTGCTCCAAGGATGAGCCCCCCCTCCAGGAATAAACCCCCGATCCAGGGACACCCCCCACTCCAGGGGTGACCCCCGCTGCTGTCAATCCAGGGGTGACCCCTCCCACTCCAGGGATAACTCGCTCACTCCAGGGGTGACCCCCCTTCCAAGCCCTCCACACTCCAGCAGTGACTCCCCACCCAGGGGTCCCCCTG